GAAAGTGGCTCAGAAACTGATGGAGGCTAAATACCTATCTTTCTGGCCTGTACATATATCACCGAAAGCTGTCAAAAATCAGGCTCCTGGTTCTGGTCTGATATCTGGTAGGTTCTGTTCTTAACTTACCTGCTCACCTCTGAGTAGGTCCTGGTGTGGGATGGGCTGGGAGGAAGGATCAGGAACAGCCTCTGAGGCAGGTGGGTCCAGTGGGATTTCTGAACCCTGGGAACACATGTCGTCGGACCGTTCATCTGGCCGTTCATCAGTGTTGGTGCTGCCAACTTCAGGTGTGCCACTGGGGGAAGGCTCACTAGCTGTGCCCTCCTCCCCATCTGATGGATTCTCTGAGCTGAAGGTAGATAGTGATTGGCGCATATTCATGCCCTGAGGCCACCTAAAATGTTAAAGGGTGGGTGTTAATGACTTGTTCTGCCCTTTGCAGCCCTGAAAGCATAGGCCTTTGCCACATAGGATTATCACTCACCTCTGGCTTGAAGTCAGCTCTACTTCACTGTCTACCTCTCCTTCTTCCTCTTCTGAAGAGATTCCTCGTTTCTGTGTGGGAGAAATGAGGGACTGTGATCAAAAAAGGGAAAAAGTCTTGAATCCAGGATAAGGGAATTTAGTTGCAAAAGATTAGATAGGGAGTCGCCTAAGATTGAGAGCTCAGAATGGGCAATGAGACCTAGAACCAGGGGAGAACAAGGAAAGGGGAAGTATAGAAATCTCCCCATACTTTACCTGACTCCGAGTGACAGCAGCCCTGTAGAGCAGTGCAGCTGGAGTCAAGTGCTGGGACCCAGCCCGGCTTCCTCCCCGGCCCGCTGTCCCTTCCCTTCCAGTTCCCAGCAGCCCTACACCTTCGCCAGGCCCTACTGGTGGAGGCGGCTCCCCTTTGGCTCCCCCAGGTGACTCAGGGCTGGTGGAACCAGGGGCTGAGCCTTCACTTGGGGGGGTGTCACCGCGGGCTGGAGGTGGTGAGCCAGGATCCCCAGCTCCTCCTGTGGCCCCCCGACCCCGAGCTCCCAGTGCTGCTGACAGCAGGTCTGGGGATGATGAAGACATCTTGCGGAGCAGAAGGTCATGGTGGAGCCCACGGAGGGCAGGAGGGCAAGCCTCCCAAGCTGAGGGTCCTGCTCCTAGGCCCCCTGGGCTTCCTGGTCCTCCAGGTTCATGGGGTGGCACAGCTGCACGAAGCCCAGGGAGGTCCCCACAGCTGCCCTTGGCGGTGGACTTGCGGTGACGTGTCTTGCCACGGCGACTCCGTCCTGGTGAGGGGGGACCCTTAGGACACCCTGGAAGCCCCACGCCACTTAGTGCTGCATCTAGTTTAGGTAGCAAGGACTCTGTCTTCAGGATATCTGGCCTGGTAGGGGAGAATACAAGGCTGTGATTAATGTTTTTACCCACCCAAGGCCCGAGCATTTCCACCCTTTTAAACAACTGCAGCCTTTTCAGCATCACTCCTGTCATACTCAGAACCTCAATGAACTCATGCCCTACCTTTTGCTATGGGGTGACAGTTTCTGTGGCACATTCCTCTTCTTGATGAGTTTCTCCATCGTGTTCCCATGAAGGAGGCCCCGAGAAGGGTGTGGCTTTAGCAGGCCTGGGCATCTCCGTTCTAAAGCTTGTTCTCGCCTAAAGATTCAGATAATTCCTCAGTTGGGCATCTGAATAATGAGGGATCTGTAGGGTCTACAAGTAAGGCAGCTCAGCAGAGGTCAGGCCCTTGGTGTATAAAGGTGGGCAAGGTTACCTGAGCAGCTCCCGCTCCTTGAGTTCCAGCTGCAACATGAGGGCATTCAGTTCCATGTATAGGTTGTTAGCTCTCTCCAATTTCCGTTCATAGTGCTCCCTGATATCCAGGGCATGTCTGAAATGGGCAGATGGGTTCCCCATGGTAAACTGAGTTCATGTGATTTCATGGTGGATCTCAGTCTCTGGGAGCTGGTGGTATCCAGTTCCTGCTGCTGGTAAAATCCCCTCAGTCACATACCTGAGCTCCTCCCTCCTCCTCATTACCAGCTCCTCTTCTAGGCGGTGCAGACAGGTTCCTTCAGACTTGATCTTCTCAAAGTGCAGCTTTACCTCTTCCCGCCACTCTGCCTGGGGGTGGAGAGACAGTGAAGGTTAAGAGCCATCTCTTCACCCAGTTGACCTGAGGTCTCTAGAGGTTGCCTGTGCCACTGCAAATTGTGTTTTCAGAGCAAAAGAGTGGGGCACAAGACAAACCAAGATGGGGTCCCAGTCCTCTACAAGGACTAATATATTGTGTCCAGCCAAGCCTTTTGCTTAGCCTCCCCATCCCACCCAAAGGGCATCATTATTTCTACAAAGGGGACTTGGATATTCATTTCCCTATCCACAGCACACCTGGGACTTAAAGTAAGTCTCCTGGGGTGTGGAGAGTACGTCAGCTGAGGCAATGTCCAGATGCAGCAGGATCTGTCGGAATGATGGACGATTTCGTGGTTTGCTGTTCCTGAAGGGAATGAAGTTGGGGAAGAAGGGAATTTCAGGGAGGACCAGATAGGAACTAGAACATCCTTTCCTAAGGTGTGTCCTGGAGAACCCAGTCTTAGAATGTACTGTGATGGGGCTGGGGATATAGCTCAGTTGGCAAAGTGCTTGCCTTGCAATCAAGGCCCTGGGTTCAATACCGAGCACCACACAAAATAAATAAATAAATAGCTGGCTGGATGGATATAGATAGATAAATAAATGTACTGTGATATAAGAACTCATGGAGATGTCATACACTATCAGCAAGGAAACCTGTTTAACTTCATATTTTCCAATTGTCTACCCCAGTAAAACATTTTTCTGAGAAACACCAATGAAAAAAACAATTTGGTAAATGCCAAGAATCTTCAGGTTAGCGCATGGTAATGCACATCTGTTATCCTTGTGACTTGGGAGGCTGAGACCAGCCTGGGAAACTTAAGACCTCATCTCAAAATAAGCTATGCATGGTGGCGCATGCTTGTAATCCCAGTGGCTCAGGAGGTTGAGGTAGGAGGATTTAAGTTCAAAGCTAGCTTCAGCAACTTAGTGAGGCCCTATCTCAAAATACATTTAAAAAAAGGGCTGGGAGCCGGGTGTGGTGGTGCACACCTGTAATCCTAGCTACTGGGGGGTCAGGGGGACTACAAAATATGGCTGGAGACTTGGCTCAGTGGTCGAGAGCTCCTGAGTTCAATCCCTGATACCAAAAAAAAAAAAAAGGACTGGGGGTGTGGCTTAGTGGTTAAGTGCCCCTGGATTCAATCCCTGGTATCCAAAAATAAATTAATTAAAAAAACACTTGGGACTGTCTTTCAGTTATAGAATGCCCAAGTTCAATCTCTAGTACCACCATCACAATAAAAGATTCAGCTTATCCTCTGGGTTCTATGGTCATTTATGTTGTTTTTGTGGTACTGGGTTTAATCCAGAGGTGTTTAACCACTGAGCTTTTTCCCCAGCACTATCTAATCTATCAATTTTGGTACTAGGAATTGAACCCAGCCATTTTTATTTTGAGAAAGAGTCTCATCACATAAGATCAAGTACCCCAAAGGTCACTCTGCTTAGAAGGCAGTAGAAGCCCAATTCAGATGCAAATTACTCTGTCTTTGAATTTAATGTACCCCTGCAGATTACTGGTCAGTCCAGTATCCCTCAGTTGTGAGTCCCTTAATCCACATTTCAGATACTTGATTCTTAGACAGCATCATTGGGTAGCTTTGGCCCCCTTTCCCTATTAAGGATTCTGGGCCTGGATGCCTGGATTCTAGGAGCTAGCTATTCCTCAGCAAAGCTCTCTGGCTTCTCAACTTTCTAGAGTCCAGTTTAGCCCAAACCCAGCCATCCTTACCAGCACTGACGAAGTAAGATTTTGAAGCCATCTGGGCAGCTGGAGGGTACGGGCAGATGGAGACTGTTGCTTCCTACACCCCAGATGATGGCTGAGGAATCTACATCTTTGTAAGGGATCTCACCAGTCAGGAGTTCCCATAGCACCACACCAAAGGACCTGGAGATAAGAGGGTGTATCATTTGGGAAGGTCTCCCTTCAGAGGCCCTGGTTGCCAAAGAATGCCCAAGCCCTGGTGGCACTGCCCCACTTTGTTGGCCACCCACCCTCCTCAGTCCTCATTCTGGCCCTCACCAGATGTCAACCTTCTCAGACACAGGCTCATTGCGGATCACCTCAGGGGCCATCCAGGCTACCGTCCCTGCAAAGGACATCTTGGTGCTCTTGTCACTCAGCTCCTTGGAAGTGCCAAAATCTGAGATCTTCACCACGTCGTCATATGTGATTAGCATGCTGGTAAAAAGTGTAGTCAGCTGGGATCCATGTCCTTCCACATATCCCAACTAACTCTCTAGCAACTTGGCCTTTCTTTTGAACATCTACGGGACACCCAAAGGTGAAAGGTTCACCACAGTCCTTCCAAGATAGAACTGTCACTTGGAAAAGGTTTCTGAGATGGCCACATGCACTTAGGGCAGGATCTAGAAGGAGGGAGAGGGCCACACAGCCTTGGATGGTCCCCTGCATGCGGAGCAATTTCTGCTTGTTTGCAGGCATACTCACTTGGGGGACTTGAGATCTCTGTGGATGATCTTGTGCAGGTGCAGGTAGTTCATGCCTCCGGCAATGCCCATGGACCAGTCAACCAGCAAGGACGGGGTGACAGGGCGGCCAGCCCGCAGCACCTCATATAGCTGGCCCTGGGCGCAGAACTCCATGAGGATGCAGTAGCAGGGCGCCTGGGTACACACACCCCTGGGGGCCGAACACCATAATGTGAAGGCCTCAGGCAGCCCAACATTTACCTCACTTGCACTTGGAACCCTCATTCCCACCCATGCTGTCTGGGGGTCTCCTTTGGGAAGGATGGTTTAGGCCCCACTGCTCATGAGGGTCGCAGGCCTCGGCATAATACTCCCAGCCCCTTCCCTGGACCTCACTTGAAAGTGATGATGTTGGGGTGCTTCAGCTTTCGCAGGTGCTTGATGTCGGTCTCCTTGAGGTCTCGTACTTTCTTCACAGCTACCTCCTCCCCATGGAAGCGCCCCAGGAAGACAGCTCCCTGGGCCCCGGAGCCTACCCACTGCAGGTCCAGGATTTCCTCAAAAGGAACCTCCCAAAGGTCTGTGGGCAGGAGGCACAGTGCCACAAGGCTCAGAAGCTGCACTCAAGGCTTTATGACAAGGCCAGGGACAGGGGACATCATTGAGTTGGCTAAAATGAGTCAAGGGCAAGGCAGAAGGGTAACAAATCAGGCTGAAAAGACATTAGGTCTAGGGGACAGAGAAGGAAATGATTGGGTGGCTTTGAAAGCAGCTGGGGGGCTGGGGTGCAGCTCAATGATAGAGCAGTTGCCCAGCATGTGGGCCCTGGGTTCCACAGCACCACAGACACACAAAAAGTTGGGAAGTTAGGCTAATAGATGGATGGGGGACTAGGGCTGGGCAGTGGGGAGGGAAGGGATCTTCTGGGTGATGACTGAAGTATGGGGCTGTCCAACAGATCTCAGACTTAGGGAGACTCGGAGAGAGCTCAGACAGGGACCTGGCCTACCTTCCTGCTGCTGCTTGTGTTCCGTGGAGTAGGCTTTGCCAATCATGGTCCAGACTGGGCGCAGGCAGCCGAAGAGGCCTTCAAGGAAGCCACTGCCACTCTGGCACTGTAGCCGCACCTCGTCAGCTCGTACTCTAGATGCCCGACTCTCAGGTGATCCAGTGGCTCCTCCAGAACCCCCTGTTTCCTGCTCATGTAGCTGCAGGACACTATTGGCAAAAGGCTCAGGAGGTGGCTCTCCACCTGGGGAGGGGCTGGGCCCACCTGCGCCCTGTCCACTAAGAGGCACTACATCACGAAGTACACACTGGGTGGGTGTCAGGTCCTTCTCAGGGGTGCAGTCTGAAGTGTCTGGGTCCAGCTTGCGCATGGAAGCCTCACTTAGGGTAGACACGAAGCCCCCAAAAGAAGGGGAGGGTGTGCGGGTCTCATGGAGGCAGGCCATAGCCTCTAGGCCCCGATGTGGTGCTGAGCAGCAGGCCCTGTGGGAATGAAGGAGGAAGGGGCTATCAAAGCCACAGGCGCAGCTCCAAAAGCTTGGGCTAAGAAGCTGGGCTAGCAATAGCTCACTGAAGGCAACACTTGAGTTTTCCGTGAGGTACCCATCAGAGGACACCCAACATGCTTGGGCTTCTTCTTAGGTATCAGTAGTGCAAGCAATACTGTGATATATGGGTAACACACTTGAGTATCATTCTCAGGTAGACACAAGTAACAGACCCACCCACACACTGGCAATATTTATTTATTTATTTTTGTGGTGCTGGGGATTGAACTCCAGGCCTTGTACATGCTAAGCAAGCACTTGATTACTGAGCCACATCCCCAGCCCCTTAAAATATGTCTCAAACTTGCTGGGTGGTACACATCTGTAATCCAAGTGGCAGGAGGATCACAAGTTCAAAGTCAGCCTCAGAAACTTAGTGAAACCCTAGGTAACTTAGCTAGGCCCTGTCTCAAAATAAAAAATAAAAAGGGATGTGGCAGGGCTGGGGATGTGGCTCAGCAGTAGAGTGCTTGCCTAGCATGTGCGAGGCCCTGGGTTCGATATATAAAGGGATGTGGCTCAGTGGTTAAGTGCCTCCTGAGTTCAATCCCTGGTACCATAAATAAATAAATAAATAAGATCTCAAATTCAAGTATAAGGCTAGGTTACTGCTCTACACTAGAATGCTTAGCTGGATTCAAACCCAGAACCACAGAAATGAAAACAACAAAAAACCTTAGGAATCACAAGTAACAAGTCTAGTTTCCCTTCTCCCTGTACAACTATTGGAATTCACTCCTGCAGTACCTATTTCACCTGAGGCTCACTGGTGCCAACAGATATGAGGGTCTCTAAGGCACCTTTACTTTGATTCTCAATCTCAAGCCTGCAGTGGTAACATAACTAGACTTCCTTCATGTTGAAGTGTACACACGTGAGATTGATAGACTTTCTAATTGGGCACCCTCGGAAAATGTTTCTAGACCTCATGATCAAGAACTTTCAGACAATACCAATGAGACCCCCTCAGGAACATTAACTCAGATAAAAGCCTTAGCCTAAGACACACTAAGGGCTCCCAACAGAACCCTTTGCTTAGGTGTTTACAGGTATACAACCAAGGTCTTTCACCTTGTAAGTGAAAGCTAACAGCTCCACTATCACCCAGCACAACTGGCAAAAAAAGGTAGAACCATCCAGTAGTGAGGCACAAGCTGTGTTAGGACAAGCTATGGCCTGTTGCAGAATCATCTTGAGCCATTCCCATCACCAGCTGCTCTCCAGGGCTCAAAGGACACTGTCTTATCTCTTCCTTGTTTCCCCATCCCCAGCTCTCCAAACCAAGATCCAATTTTCCAGGACAAGGAGATTTATCCCAATTCATAGCTGGCTGTTATTTAAAAACCAATCATTGCGAAGCCGGGTGCAGTGGTGCACGCCTGCAATCTCAGTAGCTTGGGAGGCTGAGGCAGGAGGATCGCCTCAACAAAGCCAGCCTCAACAAAGGTGAGGTGCTTAGCAGTTCAGTGACACCCTGTCTCTAAATAAAATACAAAATAGGGTTGGAGATGTGGCTCAGTGGACTGAGGGCCCCTGAATTCAATATCTAGTACCATCCTGCCCCCAAATCATTGCCAGGTGCAGTGGCACATGGGTGTATTCCCAGCAACTTAGGAGGCTAAGGCAGGAGGGCTGTGAGTTCAAGGACAGCCTAGGCAACTTATGGAGACCCTATCTCAAAAAAAAAAAAAATATATTACTGGGGATGTAGCTCATTATGACCTCAGGGAAGCTATAGTTGGGCCTTAGTTTCTCCAACTACACAGAAGGGTGAACTGGCTATCACCGGGGCACAGCAAACTCTCCAGCCTTTACCAGAATTGTCCTACACCCACTCCACCCACTCCAGGACCCCTTAAGGATACCAGGAGTCATCCTGGTCTCCTATCTCCACATCTAGTCATCAAATCCTGAGACTGCTGAAAACAAGAATTCCACTGTCCCTCACCTAGGTCTTTCCAGGAGCCCCTGTGGTAGTCTCCTAGAAATAACTATTTTACATTCTGAATCACAGTGGAGGGGAGTGGCAGGGATCTACACATGCAAAAGGACTCAGGGATGAAGTTGCAGATATATAAGGAAGCTATTGGTGGGGGATGGGGGAACCCAGGGAGAATGATAGTCTTAGCTCTTAAAGCACAATTTTCAGGCCTCTCTTTTTAAGGGGAGACTGGGAATTTTACCCAATATAGAGGCAGTTTGCTAGTGGGCTACAGCCCCAGCCTCTCCCCTCCTTTTTTTTTTTTTTTTACACAAGATCTAAGTTGCTGAGACTGGTCTTGAACTTGATCATGCTCCTCTTGCCTCAGCCACCTGAGTCCCTGGGATTTCAGGTCTGCACCACCAGTGATTCCTGGCTCAGGTCATTCTTTTTAACTAGTGTCTTTGAAAAGCTGCCACAATGTCATTCTATTCTCTCTATTCCCACTGTTGCCTTAGTTCAAGCTTCATTAACTGACATCACCTGGCCTAACTCTTAAGTTGGCTCCAAGTCCTCCCTGTCCTTTCTCCAGAAGGATCTAAGAAATATCTAGAACATACACTCCATGCTATACCCAAGCACCTCTCTCCCACCTCACCACTACTAATGATGTTGGTACCCAAATCATGTAGAACCAACCTGACACCATGTTACATCAAACTTTTGATCCAGGGCACCCAATTACAATGGCTACTATTATGAAGCTCAAACTGTGCCTGAGGCTTATTCTGCCCAGAAGGTGTTTGTCATCACTTTTTGACTTCCGAGTCTCAGGTCATCCTGGAAGTCTGTATGACCAGACCCTCTTAAGTGAATGCCTCTTTTGGGCTAGCACAGCCCCGTGTGCTTCCTCCATCATGGCTCCCATGTGAAAGCATTCCATGGTCAGGCGCCTAGTTCCTTTGAGAGCCTGGACTGTTGTAAAGCAACGACTTCGCGGTATTCTTCAGCCTGGGACAACAACTGCTCCACCCACTCCAGGACCCTTTAAGGCTAGCACACGCAACTAACGCCATAAAGTGATGCTACCTTAATCTTCACATTGGCTCATCAAAGAAGGTACTATGGTCCTCTTATTTTCTTGAGAAAACATGAGGTCCAGAAGTGGAAATTATTGTCACATTCGGCTTCTGAATCGCCTACACATCCCACGAGATATCTGCAGTTCAAGAGCGAAGGTGATTGTAATGTAATGCAAGTTACAGTCAAGTGCAGGCTGGGCAGGTGCCAATACACCCGAGAATCGGGCCCTGGAGGATCCGAGGGCTTTCACCTCCCACGCCTGGGCTTCGCTTCGGGACTACCCAGAACCAGGGCTGGGGATCTAGGGGAAGTGCAGGGCCCGCCCGCTGGACAATCAGGCCACCGGTGACAGATTCCAGAAGCCCAAGTCGGAGAGGAAGGGGTTACGACCACGGACCCCTTCCCCCTCCCGACCTCTTTCCCGGTTGTCACGTGGCTTGTGGCGGGGGCCAGGGTCCGGTGGGGAGAGGGGGACCACGGACCGAGGGAAGCGCTGGGCGCTGCAGCGTAACCATGACGACTGGGCTCCAGGCGGCTCGTGAAGTCACCAGGACAAGATTAGCCCAGGGTCACGTGAAAGCGACACAGGGCGGAACCGCGCGTCTGAGCCCCGCCCCTGACCTGGGCAAGCGCAAGTGGCTGGTTGCCCGGATGGGGCTGCAGGCACTGCAGGTGCGGACCTGGACCCTGCGGTCTGCCGCCTATGTTCCCCTCCTCCGACCTCGTCTGCTTTAAGATCTTCAGCTGGGCAACGGGTGGAGGGAAAGCGGTTGGTTGAAGGGAAAGGACTCTTGTGGTTGGCACTGGGGTGCAGTGGCACATAGAAGGAAAACAGGAAATGGAGAGATGACAGGACACAGGGTGAAAGGCACAGCCAGAGGGAGTAGCCAAGAGATGCTGAGACCAACAGCGTGAAGTTCAAGGTGGACAAACTGAAAAGCTGTCTCCCCTCACGATCCCTCTCCACTAAGGATCAATCCAGGGCCGCAGGCATGCTAGGCAAATGCTCTACTTCTGAGCTACACTCCCAGATCCTTTTTAATAAAATTTTGAGGCAGGGTCTAAGTTGCTGTGGCTGACCTCGAACTTGGGATCCTCCTGCCTCAGCCTTCCAAGTAGCTGGGATTGCAGGTCCGAGTGCCCACCCACAGGCGCCAAAATGGAGATAAGATGGTACCAAAACCCAGAGATAATGGGTCCCTTCCCACTTAGTTTCCTATTTAGAAGCTGAGCTTTTGAGTAACACAAGAGCTGGCTTTTTGAAGGAATTTTTCACCCTTCATCTGGTTGTTTAAGCCTAGAGAAGGTGACATGCTCAGAGACACTTGCAGCCCGGCCTCCCTCCAATTCACCAGGCTTCCCCAGAGGCCCCTTTGGTATCCATGGCCAGCAGCTGGGGAGAAGAGGGAAGCCATTTCACCTGTTTGTCTTTTAGGGCACTGTAGAGGTAGGAGATGGTACGAGAGAAAGATAGGGAATCTAGCCAAGTTCAATCCACCCCATCCCCTTTCTCAGGATAATGACAGCTCTTCCAGATGATTTGCAGAAGGGGTAAAGTTGAGGCCCCAAGGGGCCATAGTAAACTGGAGATTTCTCCCAGTAAACTGCCCCTTCCTTGCCATTTCCTTTATTCCTGATCTGCCAGCTGTGTCCCACTGCCCCTGAGCTGGGCCTTGGCACCAGGGCTTTGGGGGATATTATGACTTGGAGCTCCTAGCCTAGACATTTGGTCACCATAGGGGAAGGGACTTATCTCCCTGGCCATCAATTATGCAGAGCATGGGGAGCAGGGTAGAGATTTGATAGGAGGGGTAGTATCCCTGTCAGTCATCCTATCAACCATATTTACTAAGTGTTGACTTGTGCATCTGCTGCAGACTAAGGGGAGAGAGTGGTCTCTGGGCTATATTTCTGCCAGAGAAGGCAGCTCTGTGGATACCCCCACAGGCCTTCATTCAGGATCAGGTGGGAGGTCTCTGCTTTGATGGTGGTCCCTAGAGTGCCCTGTACGGAGGCCACAGGGTGTGACCACCATGTCCTCCAGGGTTCTCTGAGATGAAGGAGGCCTATTGTGAGTCTTTCAAATTCTCTCTAGCTTCTTTTTCTAACAGAAGAAACAACACAGCTGCTTACTGGGATTCTTGGGGGCTTACTTCAGAGGCATGGCCATCTGCTTAAGTCTTGTGTTGTTGCCCTAGACACTTTCTACAGTCCCAGACCTCATTTTCCACTTAAGAAAAGGAGGAAGCTTCCACTTCTTTCTTGAGTGGGAGTGAGAAGGGGGGTTTTCAAGGGGAGAGGAGACCAGTGGCTTTGGAATCCTGGTTCTGCCCCAAACCCTGACAAGATAAAGGCCTGATGGATCCCAGTCATGCCTCCTATCTACCTGGCTGCAGCTTTTTATTTTCCTTTTGACAGGATCCATGTTCATGGCCCTAGAGTTCTTAGATGGAAAGAAGTCCAGCTTTTCTAAGCATCCTCATAAAATGTAAATGCCTTCTTTATTTTAATATTTATTTTTTAGTTGTAGTTAGACACAATACCTTTGTTTTATTTATTTTTATGTGGTGCTGAGGATTGAACCCAGGGCCTCACATGTACTAGACGAGTGCTCTACTACTGAGCTATAACCCCAGCCCCTTTAAATGCCTTCTTGAGATGCTGATAAAAATGAGCTCACCCCTACATCCAGGTCCTCAGCCTTTTACAAGTCAAGCCCCTGATATCCTTGCTGGTACACTTCTCCTAGTAAGGTGGCAGTGAGGGTGCTGAGGGAGAACAGTACTGTTTAGGACAAAAGAACTGACTTTGGATTTGGAGAGCTCAGAGCTAGAACTCTACTTCTGCCACTGAAAGCTTAAAGAATGTGGTCTCTGGACTCCCAATCCCACCTTAAGGGATGGCGAGAGTACAGTGAGCTGGTGCAGCCTCCTGACCTTGTCTTCCTGGTTGACGGGATACCAGGTCTTTCTCTTTGGGTTCTTGAGAAGCCATGTCTTCTGTATGACCAGAAAAAGGGAGACTTGGTCTCTGATCTTTTGCTTCCCAGGATCAATCATGATTTCAGGATCCAGTGGAACCACGTCACAATGTCAGCCACTGTGCTAAAGCCCCCAGTTATGCCACTGTTAGGTCCTTTTCCCTTCTTGCACACTGTCAGGGAGGCCTGGTGTTCTGCATGCATCTTTACTCTCTAGCCAGGTCTCTTAGGGATCTGTTCTCCTAAGAAGCTGTACCAGGAAGACCCTCCCTTCCATTGATGGTGTGCCAGGATCACCCCTCAGCCTTACACACGGAGATCTGAGGGGTAGGGGAGGGTAGGAGCAGGGTGGGATGAGCCACAGGGTCCCTCCTTCAGGATTTCTGGTAGACCTAGAAGAAGCTGAGTATATTTTATTTTTTGGTACTGGCGATTCAACCC